GAACTTTGTAGAAATAGAGCCTCCTATTTTTATATTCCTGTGGTCTGTCTCCGGGGGTGGAGAAGAGAGGGGATGGTGGTGGTCCCTGGGCCACCCGCCTGCGAGGAGTCTCCTCTTTCCCCCTTTTGCAGGTCTGGGGTTCAATGTCAGGTTAGATTACTACTGCCTTCGGTTTTTGTTTTTACTCCGTCTTTCTAATGTTATAAGTTAGGAACCTAATGAAAAAGCCCCACTGTTTAAAACTCATTGTGTTTAACCCTCCCCTTTTTGGTTATAAAAGCAGTTATTCATATGTTAAAAATTTGAGATATAGAGAATTCAAGGAAAACAAATCCATCATTGTTATAGCTTCATGATCACAATTAGCATTTTTCTATGTTAATTTTGTCTTTTTTCCTTTGTGTAATATAGCTGTCGTCATAGCGCATGAAGTTTTATATCCTGATTTTTTCGCTTAACATCGAAACATCAGTATTTTTCTGGCCGGCTCCGTGAATGTCACAGTGGTCACTTTTTATTGGCTCTGTGGCCGTAGGAGGGGTTGTCATTTGAGCGCTTACGCAGTAAGTAAGAAGAGTGCAGTGCCTTGCACTCTTCTGAGTCTCATTAACTCAGTGGATCCTCACAGCAAACCTGTGAGGGATGTACTGTTGCTCCCATTTCACAGATGGAGAAATGCGAGTAGTGAAACCAGGAGCCAAACCCCAGCATTCTGGCTCCCATCCCCAGCCCTTGTGCACAGCGGTTAACTTCATCCTTCCTTTGAGTGGGCTGTACAGGAATCCTTTCCTCCATTTTACAGATGAGTAAACTGAGGCGCAGACTGCAAAAGTGACTTGTCTGAGGTGAGGCAGCTCGGGAGTAGCAGGGCTGAGGCTGGAACCCCGACTCCTGCCTCCTGGCGCCATCCTCTCCCTGTTTCCAGAGGTCCTTTGGTCTGCTTGGGGGTCCTGCCTCGTCTCCAGTCCTGCCTCAGGGTGGAATCGCTGCTTTTTTTAAGCTTCTCATTTTCTTTTCATTCTCATTCTTTGTCATCCTCCCGGCAGCCCCCAGGCCCCTCGCTTCTCCGGGCCTCAGTTTCTTCATCTTTGAGCTGGGCATCCTCTCTCTCCCGCTCCTGTCTGGGCTGCTGTCGCTCCGCCCTCCTTGCTGGGATTCGGCCTGCCCCGCGCTTCCCCAGACACTTGCGGGGAGCGGTACTGGCGGCTGAGTTAGCATCTGCTTCCCCATCTGGTCCCAACTTTTTCCTTAATTACCCACTGAATTGGCTCTAACAAAACGCTGACAACTTGAATGAGACATTAGCTGATACATCAGCACCCGTGCCAGGGCCTCACGGGCTCTTCCGGGACGTGACGAACCCAGGCCCGGCAAAGCCCCTGTTCCCAGGCCGGAGTCCCCATCCCTGCTGAGTGGCAGGCCGGGCCAGGCTCCAGGTTCCCACGGGGTGTCGTCGCTCCTAGACGCCACCTTAGAGTGGCTGACCCCATGCTTGCTTGTTGTCTTTGGGGCTGGGGCACAAGCCTGGAGGCCGTTTTTGTGTCTCTCCTGTCCTCCCTTGGCCCCTAACGCGGTCTTTTGTTCCAAGTTACTGTGTTTCAGGCTGTTTTTGGTTTGTTTCATTCCTTCTCTATGATTCTAAAAAGCCTTGGAGCCGTGGGACCGAGTGTGCCACACAGGGGGAGCATTGGCCTGGGTCTTCTTGGCCTCATGGTGCCTCCCGTGTGCCTTTTGGGGCCTGTTTTTGCATCCACATAAAGGGCCCAAGGAAGTGCCGTACAGGCTCTGACTCCAACTTCTTGTGATTCTGAGTAGGAAAGGCAGAGCTTCCGTTTTCTCGTTGTAAGTGGGGTAGGTAGAGTCAGAGACTGCCTAGGTGGGGTGAGGAGCACAGGCTCCGGGGCCAGCCAGCCTGCATTCAAGTCTTGCCTTTGCTGCTTCCTTCCTGTGTGACCTTGTTCAAGTTGCTGAACCTCTCTGTTGCTCAGTTTCCTTTTTTATACACTAGCGATCAGAGAACCCCATGAGAGAGTTCAGTATGAAGATTAAGTGAGTTAATACTGAGGCACCCGGCACAGAATGAGCGTTCGAATGTTACCTTTTTCGCCTCTCCTTTGTCAAGCTCATGGGTGGCAGGTCACTTATACTCAGTGTAGGGTGCGTGATCATTTTTGGCTTGTGTACAGCCCTTTCTTTCTTTAGTTGGTTCTTGTTACCCCATTCCCCCCTCCTGCTCTGCTCTACCCCTGTCTCCAAGCCATTCGTTCTGTTTATTTAACGTGCGTCTTTTGTTTATACATCTTCTTGCAAAATGTGGGCTCTTGTTCTGTGTGCCTGTTTTAAGAATTTACAGAAATGCTGTAGTGTCTGGATCTCATCCTGTTTCTCACTTTTGACCCTCACTTGTGGCTGTCACATCTGTCACCTCACTGATCGGCAGCGTTGATTCGGCTGATCTGGCTGGGTAGGCGAGTGTCCCCTTCCCCCTTCACCGCTCCATGTGCGTTCGTCCTGAAGCTGCACGCTCTGTCAAAGAGGACGACCTTCCCTGATACAGGAGCACCGTTCCTTCAGTTAAGGGTGTGTGAGTGGCTGTGTTCGCCTGCTCGACCTTTCTAGCCAGCTCTCAAGAACTTACTGTCTGTTGGGCTTGCCTTGAACCCCAGCTGGGGAATCTATTTTTTTTTTAAATTTTTAGTTTGAAATCACATGAATATATGTTCTTTGAAAACAATTCAGATGACACAGAAGTAAGTAGAATAAAGAATGAAAATGGAAAGGGCCCTCCACGTTGCTCCCCATCTTCTTAAGCCCCATTTCCAGCAGGTAAGCACAGTAGGACAGTGGAGTACATCATGCCAGGTCTTTGCTTATGCATTTACAGGTGCAAATGTGAACCAGTCGTATGGTTTTACAGCTTAGCTTTTCTCACTCAATAGGATATCGCGCGGTTGGTCCAAGTTAGCCCCAATAGATCTGCTTAGGTTTTCATTCCATCTTAAGGATCTACCATATTTTATTCAGCCGGTCCCCTTCTGATGGGTATTTTGGGTGTTGCCAGTTTCCTGGCTGTTATAACCTGAGAACCAGCACTTCTTGTCGTGTTGGTCTGCTGGTCACGAATCTCTTTAGTTTTTGTACTTTATTTTGGAAAGATATTTTTGCTGGCTATCAAATTCTAGGTTGATGGTTTTTTTTTCTTTCGGTGCTTTAAGGATGCTGATCCACTGTCTTCCGGTTTAATAGTTTCTGATGAGATGTTGGCTGTAATTCTTGTCTTTGTTCTTCCGTACGTAATGTGTTTTTAAAATTTCTGGCTACTTTTAAGATGTTCTCTTTATCTCTGGTTTTAAGTAGTTTGATTGTGATGTGCCTGAGAGTTGGGGTTTTTTTTTGTTTGTTTGTTTCTTTTGCTTGGGATTCATTGAGCTTCTGGGTTTTGTGGGTTTGCACCAATTTGGGGAATTTTGACATTATTTCTTCACGTATCTTTTCTCCCTTGTCCCCTCTCATTTTTTTCAGGGACTCCAATTGCGTGTATATTAGACCTTTTGAAGCTGTCCCGCAGCTTATTGATGCCCTGTTTATTTTTGTCCGTCTTTTTCCTCTCTGTGTTTCATTGATAGTTTCTATTGCTGTGTCTTCAAGTTCGTCAGTCTTTTCTTTAGTGTCCAGTCTGTCTTAATCCTATCCAGTGTATTTTTCATCCCAGGTATTGTGTTTTTCATCTCCACAAGTTTGATTTGGTTTTTTTTGGTGCGTGTTTGTGTGTGTGAGTAGGATTGTCGCTGAGCTAACATCGGTGCCCATCTTCCTCTGTTTTACGTGGGATGCCACCACAGCATGGCTTGATGAGCGGTGCTAGGTCCGTGCCCAGGAGCTGAACCTGTGTACCCTGGGCCTCCGAAGCAGAGTGCACAACTTAGCCGCTATGCCACCAGGCCGGCCCCTGATTTGGGTCTTTTTTATATGTCCCGTGTCTCTCTCTAACAAGCTCATGTTTTCCCCTCCCTTCTTGAATTTATGGTGTACATTTATGATACTTGTCTTACTGTTCTTAGAGTCTTCATCTGTGTCATTTTTAGGTCTCTTCCTATTAATTGATCTTTTGCTTCTTTCATGCCTAGTAACTTTTGATTGACAGACATTGTGACTTTCACATTGTTCGGTGCTGGCTGTTTTAGGAATCTGTAAATATTTTTTGTGCTTTGTTCTGTTATTGCTGTTGTATTCATTCTTTCGGTTTTCTACTGCTGCTGTAACAAACTACCATAAACTTAGGGACTGAAAAGAACACAGATTTAGCCTATAGGTCTGGAGATTAGAAGTCCAAAATGGTTCTCGCTGGACGAAGATCAAGGTGTGGATAGGGCTGTATTCCTTCTGGAAGCTGTAGGTGGGACTCTGCTTCCTTTTCCACCTTCTAGAGGTCACCTGCATTCCGCGGCCTGTGGCTCCATTTCTCCGTCTTCAAAGCCGGCGATGTTGGGCCGAGTCCTCATGCTGCTGTGGGTCTGTTTTTCCTATTCTGGCTCCTTCATTTGTTTAGGGAGACCCTTGCACTGGGTCCACCCAGATAATCCAGGACGATCTCCCCATCTCAAGGTCGTCTGATTAACAACCTTGATTTCATTTGCATGTGTCCTAATATATTCACAGGTGGGGATTAGGATGCAGCCATCTTTGGGGGACCATTGTTCTGCCTACCACAGCAGTTAAATTGTTTGTGGGACCAGAGCTGTCTTTAGAAAACACCAAAGTTTGGCCAGCTACAGTCCGTGGGGCAGATCTGGCCTGCCACTTTGAGGGAGATTAGCCCTGAGCTAACTACTGCCAATCCTCCTCTTTTTGCTGAGGAAGACTGGCCCTGAGTTAACATCCACACCCATCTTCCTCTACTTTATACGTGGGACGCCTACCACAGCATGGTGTTTGCCAAGCAGTGCCATGTCCACACCGGGGATCCAAACCAGCGAACCCTGGGCCGCAGAGAAGCAGAACATGTGAACTTAACTGCTGCGCCATGGGGCCGGCCCCACCTGCTTTTGTAAATAAAGTTTTTTTGGAACACAGCTATATGCTTGTTCATTACGTCTGTGGCTTCTTTCATTCCACGATGACCCACAAAGCATAAAGTATTGACCGTCTGGCTCTTTCCAGAGAAGGTCCCTGGTCTGGAACTAATTTTTCCCCACTCTTGAGGCCATACTTTTCTGAGTACTCAACCCGATGCCCTTGTATATTATGAGATTTCTCTGCTTTGGCTGTTCAGTCCCTGGGCTCCTCTCTCTCCTCCAATTCTCTACCCTGCACATTCTAGCTTCCTTCCCCTCCCCAGTGCTAAACTGTCTCCTCAACTCAGGGGGACCCCCGAACTCTGCTGGCCTTCCCCCTCCCTGCCCTGCCACTGGGAAATTCTCCCAGCAGTTAGCAGGCACGATCCTAGACCCCACCTTGTCTGCGTTTCCTCTCTCAGGGATTCCTGTCCTGTGCTGCCTGTGGCCCAATGATGAGAAATCATGGCTTCGTATATTTTTTCCAGTTTCTTGGTTGTTGAAGGCGGCTGGTTAACCTGGCCCCTCTTCCTCCGTCATGACTGGAAGCACGAGTGCTTCTTTTATCACTATTATTTTGCGTTTGTGAGGGTACTTTGGGAAGATGGCATCCTGGGAGAGGCGCTGTGGGATCAGAGACTGCATTTTAATGCTGTTACCCACGGGCCCTTGTAAAGGCTGTGCCACTGTCTGCTTTGGAGACTCTCATTCTGGTAGCAAGGGTTGTGGGGACAGAGGAGGGTATGAAGCGGCTTTGAGCTCCATGAAGTGCAGAGCGTATGCCAAGGGTTAGGCTTCTTAAGAAAGAACTTCTCCTACATGTTCCTCTTTGATTTGGGTCTCTGGTGGGCGTTTTGCTCTGCCGGGCTATCCTCAGGCTGGGCGTTTCCTTAGCAAGTGGGGGTGCCTGCGACTTTCTTCTCTTAGGCTGCTGCTTTCTTTCCTGACATCTGTTGAGTACCTACAAGTGCTAAATCACGTCCGAAGGGCTTCATGTACTCTTTGTGATATAACTTAATTCTCCACCACAACCTTGGGAGCTTGGGGTGAAATGGACACTGAGAGAGGTCGTGTGGCTTGCCCAAGGTCACGCTGATTCCCAGCAAAGCGAGGACTCCCTCTCACTTTAAACCAGATCTGCCAGTTCATACAACAGACCATCCATTTGAGTCAAGACCCCTTCGGTTGCAAGTGACAGAAACTCATCTCAACCTTCCTTACGCCAAAAGGGCCACTGATGGGCATAGCTACTGAGAAACCCAGCACTGGGCCAGATACATAGATGAGGTTATCCGAAATGTGTTGCTCTCCATCTCTCCGCTCTCGTCTCCTGGTGTCGACGTAGCCTTCAGGTAGGCCCTCCCCAGGTGTTGGCAGGAATGGCTGTAGCATCGCCAGACTTAGTTCTCCCCTCAGTGGAGTAGTCCCCGTGAAAAGAGAGCATCTGTTTTCCAAGGCTTTCAACCAAAGTCCCAAGGAAGGCTCCCGTCGGCCCAGCTTGGGTCACAGGCTCATCCCTGAGCCAGCCACAGTGCCAGGAGGGTGTGTTGTTCTGACCGGATGTCCCTGGGTCATTTGATTCTTCTCCTGGAGTGGGGGGCTGGGGATGGCCCGTGAAACCACTTAGATTGTGGGTTCGTGAAAGGACAGGAGAGTTCTGTACTGGAAGAATGGATGCTGAAGAGGCCGAAACAAAACAGTGTCCACCACACCCCTCTGGTGTTTGCAAGCAGGCTGGGCCACTCTGGCCCCCGGAGCTCCATCCTTCCTGGGGCTCTTGGGTCTGTTTGGCACCTGCTCCTCATCCCACCCTCCCAGGTTCCGGCCATGGGCTGTTCGCTCTCACCATCTCAGGTGAGGTTTCCTGGCTATCGCTCCTTCTGGCCCAGAACTGAACCACGTTGACAGTGAGCAGGTTGGAGGAGATGTCCGTGCTGGAGCCCCACTTCTTCAGCCCCGGGGTGGGGTGAGCCGTTCCGGAGAGGATAAAGCTGGAAGAGCAGAGGGATTGGGCACGCGTGCGTGTGTGTGTGTGTGTGTTGGGGGTGTTGCATGTCGAGAGAAGCCCACTGGGCTGTGCCCATTCCATTTCTGAGGCTACTGAACAGGAGGCCCCACAAGGCCGAGCCTCACCCCTAACTAGCACCAGGAAACAAGGGCCCAGCAATTTGGGGACACCGCCAAACCTATTTCATCCTTAGTAGATGAGCACTTTTCTGAAAGGGCCTCCTGCAGCAGAGCAGCTGGCACGTGCACACCTCATCCTCAGACCTGCTGTTTCTGGATCTCAGGGGCGGGGGGAGGGCGAGAATCTGCGATTTTAACAAACTCCCCCAGCAATGCTTCCACACCCTGGCCGGCAACAACCTCGCTCAGGGAACTGTCCTGGGATTTGCTGAGTTTTCCTTAGCTAGATCTTTCTTTAAAGGATTCTCCCTTCTCCTGACGGAACTGTCTGACTCGTTTATCCAGTTCCCAGGGTTTCCGTCCTTCAGACTTGAACTGCTCCTTTTGGAATAAAGGAGACGTCACTGTGCTTGGGAGCAAGTCCGAAGTGTGGGATCCCCTTCTGAAGAGGTTGGCAGTGTTATTTTCCATCTAGCACTTTCTGTGTCTCGAGACATTCCTTAGAAATAACGTGAAAAGGATAACGCACAGTGTGTCTACATTTCTTACTGAGAAACACTGACGCCTAAAAAGCCAGTGACGCATCAGGATTGGTGGTGAGAACTGGGAGGTGCTGATGGGTCAAACGAATGGAGCTTTTGGCTTGGAAAAGCTCGGTGACTAATAGGACACCACATGTCGTCTGTTCCTAAGTTAAGACCCTAAACTTTTGTAGAGAAAAACCGTTTTTACCCACTACAAGATTTTAAAAATCTTTTTAGCCAAAGATCGCTTTCACAAATGAAGTCTTACATGGGAGCTCAGTATATTAAATAGATAAAAGTGATTTTTTTACATGGGGAGGAAGGGCCACATTATGACTTTGACCTTAGGCACTTTTGCCTTTGTGAGCTCTTTCCTTCATTAAAAAATATTAAAAATTATACTTTATGACTGCATTGGTATAAAGATGAGTATATTAATATTATATGTTAAACATTTTTTCTGACCTAAAAGTTCAGTTTCTTTATTCTGATTTTAAAAGAAACTAAGCATTTCTGTGGGCCCCAAAAAGTAGGTGGGCCCTGGACCCTGTGGCTCTGATGCCTGACAGGTCGGTCCACCCTGAGGAGACAGGTCCTCACCTGCCGGGCCTCTCCCAGGGTGGCCCCTGAAGCAGGCTGGAGGAGTGGAACCCGATTTGAAGACCTCATCAGCCTTATCTCTCGTCACTATCAGACACTGGTCTGCCTCCCTGGGGAAGAATCATAAGATAACACAATAAGGATGGAATGTCAAAGTCATTCTCCTCCTCCACCCTGAAAACCCGGGTCTTGTTCTTTAATTTTGTAAGTGTCATTTCTGCCAGGAGATCGTCTGTCCAGCCTCTGCTTGAATCCCTCTAGGGACAGGGAGCTCATTACTATGTTTGGGTTCTCTTTTCTGGTCCCGTTCTGTAGGACTTAATGGTACCCAGCCAGCCCCTGGGCAATCACCATTTATCTCCTAAGCTGGTGACTCCTGTAGCGCCCAAGCCACTGCTGAGCTGGGATACGAGTCAGGAGTCTGGGGTTTGAGGCGCGTTTCTGCCCCTCTGCTGCTGTGTGACCTGAGCAAGGGCACTCTCCCTCTCTGAGTTTGAGGTGCTCTATTTGGGAAAAGAGTAGGTTGGATGTGATGGTCCTTGTACGTAGCACAGTTGTGTGATGCTAAAGGGAGATCAAGGCTTGTCCTGAGCAGGTGGTACCCACAGCCTGGGTTATTCTGGGATGTGGAGAGCCTGTTGGCTCTAGCTTGGAGGTCAGGGACCAGAGGCCCTGTGTGTCTCTGTCCCCCTGCGTCCGGGTGGGGCGCTGTTACAGGCCTTGACAACAGGTATGGAGAAAATGCAGGATGAGGCAGGGGAAGGGTCAGGTGGCTCAGGGTCATCGCTCCGTTTGTTGTCCCCCACTCAGCTTCTGATGGACTTCTCCTGAGATTTGGGAAAACTTGGCCATCCCAGGCCCGGTGGACAGCCATCCAGTGCGCTTGTGGGGCCGTGTGCTTGCTCACTCTGGTTTGGGGAGAGGGGGGATGAGTATGGTGACATGCTTTCCTCTCTGGGGAAAGCCTGGGCTTGCTTAGCGATGAGCAGGAGCTCAGCACAGTGGCAATGTCCCTGCCCTTTCCCCCTGCCGTCCTAGCCCCTGGTGCTTGGGCGAGGGGATGCTCCCATCTCATCCTGTACCCTGCCCCACCCCGTCCCTGCCATCCTAGATGGCTCTCCCATGAGTTCCCGCAGCCTCACTTGTTCTGTACTGTCCCTCCTGCCAGGCAGTTGGTGCAGTGGCTTCCCAGACCACAGAAAGAGAGCAGAGTGTGGGTTGAGTCCCCGTCCTGCCCGGCCAGCTCTAATCCACGCCTGCTGTCTGCCCTCCCCTTTGTAACTATTGATTCCTGCCACGTCCGCTCACCACGAGCCAGCTGGGGTGGACTGGCCACCCGAGCGCCAGTTCAGGGGTTTAGGAGTTCCTGGAAACAGTGACATATTACTGGCCTGATGAGTGTGTCCCTGCCAGCCAGGTGTGTGCAGGAGAAAGCGTGAGTGTGTGAGGTGCCGCACAGGACGTCTTCGTGGGCACCGGGTGAATTTCCTTTCTCTTGGGACTGGCTCCTCAGGGTTGATTTCTCTCCTCACCATTACGTTTTTACTTAAATAATTTGTCCACATACATGCCAGGGAAAAACTTGGTTTCGTAGAGTGGTTCATCTGAAACCACTTCTGTCCATCCACCCAACCCTTCCTCCCTGCAGACCTACTGTGCGCAGGGCCCGTCCTGTCCCAGCCCGCGGGGAGCTCCCAGGCTAGCCTGAGAGCTAAGCAGCCCAAATGCTGGGTGCATTCCAGTTATCGTGGAACTTTCTGCTTTCCAGACAGTGTCTTCTCACAGAATCTGTTTTGTGTAAAACAAAGTTTGTTTTACTTCATTATGAAAAGTAGCAAATGCTCTTTATAGAAAAAGTTGGAAAACACAAAAGTATGAGGAAGAGAGAGAATCACCCCTCGATCTCTATCAGAAGCTCGCACCGTTGACATTTGGATCTTTTTCCCTTGTAATTATTGTTTTTTTCTTTTTTTAACCAATGGGTGCAATAGATGCAGTTTCTCCTCTGCTTGGGAAAAAACCCTCCACATTCTAAAATTAGTGATGCCCAATTTTGTTGGAAACCCTGCGGTTTTGGCTGTGTGGTGTTCCCTGAAGTGGCTGTAGCCTAGTTTACCCAGCAATGCCCTGTTTGGGGGATATTCGTCTATTTCTGGATTTTCCCTGTTATAAATGATGCTGTGAAGTGTATCTTGTAAGTGAGTTGGTTTTCATGTCTTGGATTGTTTCCCAGACTTTTTCATCTAGAAGGAATCTCAGTGATCACCCAGACCACTTCCTCTCTGACTCCAGCGTGTGTAAGCATCACCCGGTTCTCGGGGCCTCACCCCAGAGGTTCTGAGTCAGTGGGTGAGGTTGGTGCCCGAGAGGCTGCATTCTGACAAGCTCCCAGGCGGTCCTGATGCTGCCGGTGCGTGGACCAACTTTGAGTGGCATGCACCAGCCTCTCCTTTATGGTAAGGCGAGTTCAGGCTAGGGAGACGGGAGAGTAGGTGGTCATTGCCTGGTCCAGCCCAATGGGCAGTCCCGTGCTGGGACACCGACCCCCAACCCTTGCTGCCCTGTCACCTGGGGAACCTGCAGGAGAAGACAGCATTCAGCCACACAAGGGCATCTCCTCCCTGTTCGTGTTATTAGGATGGGATTCTAGCCACCCAGGACAGGCAGATGCCAGGTGTGGACACGTGCTGGTGTTGGGGTACGCGTAGGACTGGGCTAAGAGCTGGCTTAGGGAAGACACTGGCGGAGACTCTGGTGAATTGTCTTAAGTGGCAGCGAGCGACAGCCTCTCTAGGATGCAAAGGGTTAAACAGGCGGCTGGCACAGCCTCCCCGGAGCCAAAGGGGGAACTCAGGAGTAAGTCGTGACTGCCTAATTAATTCAATTAAACTACTTTATAAGCTCCGCTGGTGTCACTAAATTGTTAAAGTCTATTAAAAAATCAGTGGAACGTGATGAGGGTTTGGAGACGTCGCACCACCTTCCTGGAGTTCTTCTCTCGTCCTCCTCCCCCGCCGGGGTGGGGTACCCTGAAGGAGGGACGCACGGGGTCGGAGGCCCTCTCTGCAGCCCCCGCCAACCTGCTGTGTGTGCTGAGCCGTATCCCACGCCCCTTGGGCCTCGGTTTCCCCATCTGTACAGTTAAATTATGGACTGGCTTTTGAACACCCCTTCAGCACCAGAGTTCGTTAGCCTTTTCTAGTCCCTTCTGGTCAGAGGCAGCTGTTACTGCAGATGCCATCGGGTCTCTGTCCTTCCTTCATGTCACGTTCATCTGGGCAGTTTCCAGGGTGACAGGGCGACCCAAAGGCTGAGGTGGCAGCTCTGAAGAGAGCGGTGTGAGCAGAGTGGGTTTCACCTGACACCTGTGCCGTTTACCCAGCACCTGTGCCGGGTGAAGGGGGCTGCTGCAGGGTCGCATTCAGGACCCCCCGAAGCTGGGCGTGGTGTCCCCCACTGTGACAGGTGAGGCTGCCGGGTCCCAAGCGACCTGTCCAGGAGTAAGTGGTCGAGTTGAGATTTGAATTCAGAGCGGCCGTGTCTCCAAGACTCAGTGGCTGCCTGCTTTCTTCTGCACATGTATTTAAATAAACCCACATCCCCCAGCCAAACCCTACGGTGTGCAACACTGCAGTCACGGGAAAGCAAACACCAGAAATGTTCTTCCTCTCTAGCCAGTATCCAGACACGAAACCTGAAAGAGAGCGTGACAGCCCTGTCCCTGGAGGTACGTGAGCAAGAGTTGACTGACCCCTCAGGCCTCCTAGAACCAAGATCCTGCAGCTCTGGGCCTGGCTCGTGGTTTATACCTTTGCAGCGGTTTGTGCTAAGAGCAGGCTGGGAGTCGGCAGGAATCGCTCCCTGGTGCTTGGATATTGGGGTGACTGTCTTGTCTTCTCTGTCAGATCAGATCTCAGGTGGTGCTGGTCTCAAGGGAGGGTGCCTGTGGTCCTGGGCTTGAGGGCAGCCTCGGTCACTAATTAATAGCTGTGGCTCTTAGGCAAGGCCCTTCCTCTCTGAATCCTAGAGATTTAGGCTTGCTCCCTCATCCGTGAAAGGTGGCTGCTGCGGAGTATGCCCCCTGGGTAGTCCGAAGGGGGAGGACGAGTTTAGGGCGAGGTAAACCTGTGAAAGGTGTGTACTCTTGTCTTAGAGATTCACAGCAGCCATGGGACCTTTAAAGGCTCTGAAAAGTCCTGCAGTAAAGAAAGATGAACTTTGTTTGCCCGGCCACTCTTTCGCTCTTCAAGCGCGTCTTTTGTTAATGCCCTGCTGGCTAAGGTGAATAGACAGAAACACTTAAATATTACCCTGGCACAGAGCTGCTTTTAAGGAGCTTTCTTCTCTGGTTCTTTTTGTTAGGAGAACACCTTTTCTGTAAATGGGGTGACTAGCCCTTACCAAGGCGGTGTCTGCATCCCGAGTTGGGTTTTCTTAAACCAGAGTCCCTGTGGGTGCTAGGATCCCAGAGGCCTGCCGAGGTCCAGGAGCCGGGCTCTCCAGACCTGGCAGAGAATCCCACTCCCCTTGGGCTTCCCTTTGCGAGCCTCCTCTGTAGAACCAGCTTGTGTGGGGGAGCCCGCCTGCCCCCCCTCACCCCACAAGCCAGAGGCACCCGGGGTGGGGCTTGGAAGTTGCCTAAAACGTGTCCCCCCAGATCCCGGTCATTTGGAGCTGCCCGTTTCCGAATTTGTGAACTGCGCCTGACCTTTTCAAAAGAAGCTTTGCTAAGGAAAAGGCTAGTGTAAACAAGATCTTAGGGGGAAGAACTCTAAGGGGTGTAAGGAATCCGTCTATTTTTAAGCCTTTTGAAAGCTCCTGTTAGAATGTAAACACTATGCTAATTATAAAAACACCTTTTCTGTTCAAACTGGGGTAAACAAGACGGGGGGCTGGGCGGAGAAGGGGAGGAGGGTTTGAACAGAGATGAAGCATTGTGTGGCCACAATAATTGATTTAGTTGCTCATCTTTAAAAATTCAGATTTCCCACTTGTTTGCACAACCTGCATACCCGGGCAGCGGTGCACATATGCTCCCACCGACAACAGTGGGCAGGAACCGGTGGACCGGGCTTGTCTTGCCAGCTCTGGACCCCAGCCTGGTTTTCTTGTGGGCGTTCCCTGCACGGCCCCTGCCCCACTGAAATGTGCACCCTGCGTTTCTGAGAACAGTTTCCCTCCATGTTTGCAGTGCACAGTTAGCATGTAATTGCTCATTTCCTCTCCGTGAACCACAGAGGAAGTCCTCTGCTTTGCTCAGCAAAACTTTCAAAGAGAAACAGTCGGCGTCAACCAGCCATTATTTGTTGAGCATCTATTATACATCGGGCTCTGTGCGAGGTCCGGAGATTTTGTGTTGAGAAACCCGCCTCCCTGCCTCCCCTGAGCTTGCCGCCTGCTGCCACACTGGCCACCGTGGAGTGCCATGGATGCCCCGGCTCACCCAGAGCTGCTGCCCTGCCTGCCCTGGGCTGAATGGGGGCAGGGCGTTCTGACAGGCTGGATGTGGTCCTTGCCCTGCCATTGTCAGGGAGATGAGACAAAGGGCGAGGCGAACTCCCGAGGAGTCCGGCTGTTGGCTCTCTTTGACCTTGAGGATGCTGAGGTATGGGGGGGGCGGCTCATGGGGGTCAGGGACACCTGCTGTAGGAGCTGCGTGACTTGGTGGTATGGTTAATACTGAGATGAGCTGAGGGGAAAGGGGAGGCCATTCCAGGCTCTGATGAAGAGGGAGCAAGATTGTCGTTAGTGGGGGCTTTATGTGCAAGTGGTATTTCAAAATGCTTAAAAATATCATCTGAGGGAGGCTGCAGACAGCAGGTGGTCAACTTAAGAGAGAGTATTTGGGGAGCGGTGGGACCAAAGGGGTGTGGGGGGGAGGAGGAGGAAGAAGAGAAAGAGAGATGGATGGACAGCCACTGGGACAGACGGATACTAAGTGTCTTTGTGGAGGACCCTGAAAACTGGGTGGAGAATTTTGCTAACCAAGGAACCGAATATGACCAGGCCAAGCCCCATGAGGGCACAGTCCGTGTCTGTCTTACTCTTCACTGTGTCCTTAGTTCCCACCAAGGGCCTGACGTAGTAGATGCTTATTAAATATTTGTTGAGTGAATGAATGAAAGTACTTAGTTGGTGTTTATCACATGTATCTTTACAGCAGCCCTGAGAGGAGATAGCATCATCGCCTTGTACTGATGAAGATGGGCCATTCTTGGGGGTGCGGTGTGTGTGTGTGTGTATTGTGGCGTTAGAGGGAAGCACTGGGACACCAGAAAGCTTTTTTTGTAGCAGCACCATGAAATATTGATCAATTTGATTCCATTGTATGACCCTGGGACAATTTTACTAGCAGAAAATATGACCGTGTTATATGGCTGCAATAAAAAAATCACAGCCGTGAGGGCAGGCCCAGAAAGCGAAGCGAGCTGACGTCGTAGCAGGACTGGCGATTCCGCATCTTTTTGCTGGTGTCAGTTGGCCGTTTGTTTCATCGTGGTCCCCGTGTTGAGCTCGCTGGCAGATAGGTTAACAGGTCCCAGCAGAAAATTTATACAAGAAAAGCTTAACACCGAATTCAGTGTGTGATTCTCTTGTAGTTAGGAGATGCGCACTGTCCTTTAGTTGTAGATGGAAAGTGTACCGGTCTAGCCTGGACGCCCTCCCATGGGAAGGTTTTGAAACAGGGACAAGATCTGACGAGCAGGTGTTGCAGCATCTCACTAGACGTGCGCCTAACTGGAGACTGTGAATCGTGCAGGGGCAGGTGCCCCGGGGCAAACATGGCTAGGAGGTGAGAACGGATGTTTTCTTGGTCCCTCAGAGCCAGAGCATCTTGCCCGGCTGACTCTGCTTGTTGTGTTGCAAGGTGTGTGTCTTTCCTGCAATGTGGCCCCTTACTGCAGGCCAGCATCTTCATCTGGTGCTCACCTGGAAGCATTGCTCTGTCTAGAGGACAGACTGGCTGTTGGATTTCTAGAAAAATGGGAAGACGATCTCCAGCATGGTGCTTTCCTAAGGAGTAGCTCATTGGAAGTTTAAAGCGTAAGATTCCAGGTTTATGTACTGGCTTTAGGACTTAATCTCGCCGAAGAGGTGACTCTGCTGTGCAGACCAGGTAGCTGATCTGGCAACTTGTTCAAGAGGAACTGGGGCATAGGGAGGGGGTTTTGGGGTGGCCAACTCCCCTGGAAGCAGGGATGGAGCTGAGAGATTGCCCTGGCTCACTATGGCCTTGTTTTTATTCTGTCTCACCAGGCACTGCAACCTCAGGGCCTTTGCACTTGCTGTTCCTCTACCCAGAATCTATTCCCTTGTTATTTTTTTGGCTCATTCCCTCACTTTGATCTGTTCTTCTCAGCAGGCCTTCTCTGACCATGCTATTTAAAATTATGCCCTCCCACTATCCCATCCTCCTTTTTTTGCTCCATTTTTCTCCATAGTACTATTACCATCTAATAGTATATATTTTACTTTTTTCCTTAAAAAAAATTATACTTCCTTTCTATCAGCTGCCCCTTTCGCCTTTCACAAGAAGGTAAACTTTGTGAGGACAGGGCTTACAAAAATTGTTTTTAAAGTTTCCATTTTGAAAGAATTTCAGACATAAAAATTTGCAGAAATGATACAAAGAGTTTCCCTTCACCCGACATCCTCAGATGTTAACACCTTATATAACCGTTATATAACGCGCCAATTGTACTAGGAAATTAGTATTACTACAGGAAATTAATAGAACTGCGGTACTATGAACTAATCTACAGACTTTATTCAGATTTCACCAGTGGTTCCACTAATGGCCTTTTTCTGGCCCAGGATCCAATCCGGGGTCCCCCACTGCATTCAGTCGTCATGTCTCCTTAGTCTCCCCCGGTCTGGGACAGATCTTGGCCCTTGTCTGGATTCCGTGCCCTGGATCTCTTTGAAGAGTCCTGACTGGTTATTTCGTAGACGGCACCTCGGGGTTTGTGGGACGTGCTGCATCCCTGGTTCAAGTTATGCATTTCTGGCAGTAGGTCCCCGGAAGTGATGCTGTCCCCTTCTCCGTGCGCCAGAGCAGGGGGTACGGGCTGTTGATGCCCCTTATTGCTGGTGATAGGGACTTTGGACACTTAAGGTGGCGTTTGTCGGGTTTCCACTCTTACCCTTTGCATTGAGAAGTATTTTGTGGGGAGGTACTTCGCGACTCTGCAGATAACTTATTTCTCATCATACTCTCTGTGCACTAATTTTAGCATCCACTGCTGCTTCTTGCCTACAACAGTTATTACCGTGGTGTTTGCCAAATAGTGATTTCCGCTTCCATCATCCCTTCTGCATTTATTAATTGGAATTCTACTGGAGAACGAGCTCTCCTTTCCCCCCCCTTTATTTATTTATTCACTTACGTCTTTACATCAGTTTAGACTCTTGGCTGTTTTTTTTTTTTTTCATGAGCTATAATCCATTACTATCGTTATTCTGTTGCTTGAATTATTCCAGATTTGGCCAGTGGCAGCCCCTTCAGGCAGCTTCCTCTGTTCTTTGGACAAGTCCCCATCATTCTCTGAGAACTGACTTCCACTCTGCAGGGCGTCCCAGGGTTGTCTTGTGCTGGCCCTGCCCCAGCCCTGGAACCAGCCCGGAGTCCGCGAAGGAGGGCCAGGGTTTTGTCCGTATCCCTCATTTTATTATTCTCCTGCTGTTCCCAGTGTCTGGCACAGAGAAGGCTCACAGCAAATAACTTTTGCATGAATGAATGAGGGACTGAATCCGAGAAAGGGAGATTCCGTAGGCCAGGTTGCAGAAGCTGCAGTTTCTACATTGGCTAGCCTCCTCCTGGTGAACCTGAATTAGTGATCTCCCTGTTTTTTTTTTTTTCTTGTTTCCTCTCCTCGTGTGCATTAGGGGCTCGACAGGCCCCGTTTGGGCCCTTTCAGCCTCTTCTCAGCACCGCACAGTCTGAAAAGGAGCCTAGGGCATCCCCGATCCTGTAGCTCAGGAAGAGCCAAGAGCGTGGAGAGCAGCCAAGGGGAGCTGGCTAGCTGCAGAGTTAGCCGGCGCTGGCAGAGCCCGGACCTGCTCACTGTTACTGACTTGAACACCAGCCGTGGCGGGCAAGATGCTCCGGCGGCTGATGGCGGAGGTCCTGGGGCCCCCGTTGGCATGTCTGTGGCTGATGGCTGCCGAGAGCCACTTCTGGTCTCCTGAGACGCACAGGCCTCGCTTGAATATTTTATGATTTTTTTTTTTTATGAAAGATTAGAACTCAGTCACATTGGCTTTGGAAAAGCCTGTGATAATCAGATTTTTATTTATGAGTTGAATTGTGTGTGCGGGCGTGCCCCTGAAGAGGAAAACTGGCTGCCAGGCTTTCTTGCCATCCATGCTGGCACACTTTTCTGCCAGGAGCAGACTTGGCGAGTGGGAGCCTTTTCATAGTCAAGAGAGGCCTGGCTGGCTCCTAGGTTGCCGTTGCTTGTGTCCTCTGAGCGTGGCACTGGCCTCGTCGCAAGGTGGAACCTCCTCCGCGAGGAGTTCAGGATGCCAGGACCGCCTTGATTCAGCAGTTCAGACTTGCAGAGCATCTGCATTCTCGCTGATTCTGCATGGTGGTCCTGGGAAGCGGCCAGGCGAGGATGGTTTGTCCCAATTTGCAGATGGAGAAACTGAGGCCCAGAAAAAGGGAAGTCACTGCCTCTGCGTAGTGCCGAGGGGTCTGGAAATCATGAAAATTTAAAAAACTGTCACAGCACCTGATGGAGCTGCAGAGGATACCTGAACCCCGGCTGCTGAGCCCTCAGGGCTCTCCGGGGTTGGGGGCAACAGCAAAGGTTTATGTGTCTGAGGAAGAAGTCGGGGGAGCGGGAGGAAGAATTCCATTTACTTGGGAGGGAGAGGGCGCTGTGAGCTTGCCTTGAGCCTGTTTGTTGAGCCCTTCCCGTGTGAAACTTACTGGGGCGAGGCCAACAGGTGTCGGAAGACCACCTCTCAAGGATGACGAGCCTTCTGTGGTCCCTGGTTAGGGATGCTGGACGCCTGTTTGGTCACCTGCGGATGTAGCCATCAGCCAAGTGAAGCGTTCGCCCAGCCTGGGATGCCCCCGGCTCAGCATTCAGCGTATCCACCGCCTCCAGGGTACAGGTGGCGCAGAGTCGAGAAGGGTCCCATTCTCTTTTCATCCTTATCCATCCATCTGAGAATTGTTTGTTGAGGGCCTTCAGTGTGCCAGGCTCTGTTCTAGGCACTGGGTTGGACCAGGCAGCAGGACCCCCGCCCTGTGGGCTGCCCAGATGAACAGCCAGTTCAACAACATGTAGAACATCGTATGTGTTTCCTATGACGTACATCATATGTATTTCATCCTCGGGACGACTCTGAAGTAGGTGCCGTTGTCCTCCCCGTTTTACTGATGAGGAAAGTGAGGCTCAGAAAGTTAGTCTGCTGATGGGCAGCAGAGCCAGGTGGGAGCCCATGTGCCTGACTCCGTAGCAAGGGAGGGCACTGCCGCCTTTTAGCCGTCAGTCCACGGCAGAGCTGGGCGAAGCCTCCCCATGACCCCAGCCTCCCTGTCCTCTTGCGATCTGAGAGAGCAAGGATGCTAAGGGCCTGCAGCCAGGGTCCCAT